GGGATGGAGCCATGGATGGCAGGGATGGAGCCATGGATGGCAGGGATGGAGTGATGGATGGCTGGGAGGGAGAGAGGGATGGCTGGGAGGGAGAGAAGGATGGCTGGGAGGGAGAGAGGGATGGCCGGGATGTGATGCACAGATGGGATGGAGCAGTGCAGGGCTGGGATGGGAAGCAGGGAAAGGATGGAATGATGCAGGGCCGGGATGTGATGCACAGCTGGGATGAGCTGATCCCTGGCATGGATGGAGCGACACCCGGCTGGGATGGAGCAGTGTCCAGCCAGGAGGGCTGGGATCAAGGTGGGATGGGGATGGAAACACAGTGGGAATGGGAACACGACGGGGCTGGGAGCACAGTGAGGATGGAAGCACTGTGGGGATGGGAGCAGGAGAAGATGGGAACATGATGGGGATGGAAACACAGTGGGAATGAGAGCACAATGGGGATGGAAGCATAGTTTGGGATGGGAACACGATAGGGATGGAAACACAGGGATGGGAGCACAGTAGAGACAGGAGCATGATGGAGATGGAATCACAGTGGGAATGGGAGCGCAGTGGGAATGGGAGCATGATGGGGACAGGAGCACAACGTGCTGAGACTCCCAGAGATAAAACCCTTCATCCCAAAAGTCACCTGCCCCAATTCCTGTGCCCCCAGAACATCCCAGGGGGAATCTGCTCCGCTGGGGTGGATCCCTGGCCTTGGAACATCCCCGAGTGCCTGGAGGGAGTTCCTGGAAATATCAACTCCTTGAAGCAGAATCCCAGGAAACTGGGCTGCTCCACAACCCGCTCACCCATCCCCAGACCTGAGGCCACGCCAGGAACAAGTGAAAAGCTCTTCCAGTGCCAACTCCTGCAGGAAACCCAGCCGGAGGCAATCCAGACATCCTGGAAAAACAGGGACCTGCCAGTCCTGTTTGTGCCTCCCAATCCCTCCGAAGCGCTTTTTTTTTTCCCCAGTTGATTTGACTGTAAAATAATCTCCTCCTCCCAAAAATTCCCGGTCCTTGGATGATGAGACCCTGACGTTGCCGCTCTCCAGGATCCCGATCCGGCGTCTCGTGCCGTGGGTTGTTTGATGAGCCAAAATGCCAAAGGGGAAAAGGGGAGGAAATATTTGGGAAATCCTGTTTCCGGCCCTGGAGTTGCGTGGTCTGGATTTGGGCTTTGATCCATTGGGAGGGAGTTGGGATTTCCCATGGATATGTCAGCCCAAGTCCCCAAGGATTCATCCCATTCCTTGGCCAACATCCCAAACGAGCCGCAGTGCCCCGTGCCAGCCTTTCCAGGAAAGTCCCTCCAGCTGCCTTGTTTCCATCCAAATTCCCTGCATCCTGCTGGGATTAGATATCCAGGTTGAAAGCGCTCGATATTCCCAGGTTTTGTGTTTGCAGGGATGAAGTTCATGTTTTTACTTGGCTTTTTTTTTTTTTGTCCTTTTCCGCCAGCGATCCCGAATGATGCCGGTGAGGAGGAGCTAATTCCAGGATGTTGGGAAGCAAAACACTGGGAACAAGGCCAGGGTATCCCAGACGTGGAGATGTCATTCCATGTCCACATCCAGCTCCTCGGGGATGCACAACCACAGACACCGGAGAATCCACACTTGGGAAAACCTGACTGTTCTCCTTGGAAAATCGCCACCAAAAAGGGTTTATTTGTTCGGAAAACCGTAAGCCAAAAAAAAGCTGGGAAAAGGGGAATTTCGGAGGTCTGGACCCACGACTGGAGGGTTCACGAGGAACACCAAAATCATGGAAATAAATGAAACCTTCCCATGTTTTAACTGAAAAGTATTTACAATGTTTTTGTAGACGTTTTTGGAAAGCAGGAGAGGACGGGATCGGGGGATGCAGCAGCACATCCCAAATTATCCAGCACCGGAACTAAGAGAAATAAATACGAAATTCCCGTTCTCTAACACCCCATAAAACCACGTTTTCTGCCCCAAGTGGGTCCTCATTGCATCACCACCACCAGGAATGTTGTCCCAAGGTCCGGGGTTGGTGGTCAGAGGGCGTTGACTTCGGGGAAGGATATTTTTAGTGGGTGTTCCCAGCACTGGCAGCTCTTCCCGCTTATTTTTGTCCCTGAGGATGTTCCCCAGCCCTCGCCGCTCCCATCATCCCGCTATAAATAGGGATGAATTCCTTTTCCAGGGCTTTGGCAGCACATGGGAGCCTGGAGAAGAGGCAGCACTGAACTGTCCCGAAGCTCTGCGCTCCCTTCCAGCCGTATTTCCACACAAATCCTTCCCACTTCCCACATTTACAGTTCCTTTAGTGTTTCATAGCGGCCTCGGGGCTGCCGGAGGCTCCCGGGGTTCTTGGGATCGCTGCTCTGGGATGGGATTTTTCCCAAAGCTTTTCCCTGTGTGCAGGGAAGGGAATGGAGCTGAGGAAGGGGCTGGAGAATTCCTGAGGGAGCTGGGGGGGCTCAGCCTGGAGAAAAGGGGGATGGGGAGGACCTTCTGACTCCCTAAAATTCTGTGGAAGGAGGTTGGAGCCGGGGGAGGGGTCGGGCTCTGCTCCCAGGGAACAGGGACAGGACAAGGGGAAACAGCCTCCAGCTGTGCCAGGGGAGGGTCAGGTTGGATACTGAGGAAAATTCCTTCCTGGAAAGGGCTGTCCAGCCCTGGCACAGTGGCGGAGTCCCCATCCCTGGAGGGATTTCAACTCCCTGTGGATGTGGCACTTGGGGACAGGGGTCCGTGGTGGCCTCGGCAGTGCCGGGTTAATCATCAGACTCCACGACCTTAAAAGTCCTTTTCAGCTTTAGTGCTCCAGTGATTCCATGATTTGGTGCTCTTGGAGAGGCTGGATGTGATGGGGTGCTCCCAGTCTGGCAGCCACGGACAATCCCATCCCACAGAAAACCCACAGAGCCCACCTGGAGTGAAATCCCAGCTCCCACGGATCCATTGCCTACAAACCCCCCCTCAGCTTCCCTGGACACTGGTGAGAGGTGGGGTGGGAATTCAGGAGGGAGGTGGGCACTGGAGAGGTGCAAGGGGAGCATGAGGGTGCAGCCTGGGCACCCCGAGGGGCAGCTGGGGCACCCAGGGAGCGGTTTGGGCATCCAGGGAACGGTGTGGGCATCCCAGGGAGCGGCAGGGACACCCCCAGTGGGAGCTGGGCTATCCCAGGGAGCAGCCTGGGTATCCAGGGAAGCAGAGTGGGCGCCCCAGGGGTGGCATGGACACCCTGGGAAGTAGGATGGGCACTCAGAGTGGGAGCTGGAGTAGCCCAGGGAGCAGCCTGGGTACCCTGGGAAGTGGAGCAGCTTCCCCAGGGAGCGGAGCAGGAACCCTGGGAAGTGGCCTGGGCATCCCAGGGATGGTGTGGGGGCACCCCCAGGAGCAGCATGTGGGCACCCTGAGTGGGAGTTTGGGTACCCCAGGGAGTGGTATGAGTCCCTCAGGAAGCAGAGTGGGAATGCTGGGAAGTAGCCTGGGCATCCCAGGAAGCAGAGTGGGCATCCCAAGGATGGTGTGGGGGCACCCCCAGGGATAGTGTGGGCACCCCGGGGAAGGAGTGAGCACCCCAGAGAAGGTGTGAGCACCCCAGGGAAGGAGTGGGCACCCTGGGGAAGAAGTGAGCACCCCTGGGGGAGGTGTGGGCACCCTGGGAAGGGCTGGGCACCCCAGGGAAGGAGTGGGCACCCAGGAAAGGATTTGGCACCCCAGGAGTAGTGTGGACACCCCAGGGAAGGTATGAGCACCCCAGGGAAGGAGTGGGCACCCCAGGGAAGGAGTGGGCATCCAGGAAAGGATTTGGCACCCCAGGAGTAGTGTGGGCACCCCAGGGAAGGTGTGGGCACCCCAGGGAAGGTATGAGCACCCCAGGGAAGGAGAGGGCATCCCAGGGAGTAGCATGGGCACCCCAGGGAAGGAATGAGCATCCCAGAGAAGGAGTGGGCACCCCAGGGAAGGGGTGAGCACCCCATGGAAGGGCTGGACACCCCAGGGAAGGATTGGCACCCCAGGAGTAGCAT